CCCTCTCATTAACCTGTTCCTGCTTATTTCCATTACATAAACAGCAGCAGGATTAAAAGGTACGCTTGGGTTATTCAGAAGGTATGGAATTATTTCGGCTCAGTCTGACAGCGTGCGCAGACCTCCCCTCTCATTAAAAGGCAACTTCAAGTGACTTAAGCCACAGTCTTCACTGCTGAGCCAGAGTGTTGACAGGTACGGTGAGACTTAAGACTTCTAGATCAACATGGCTATTCTTTCCCACAAAATCCCCCACCGGGTTTCAAGTGTCGGCCCGAGATTTGACTGCCGGATGGGGAGGGGGCAAATCCTAACTGCTAAATAGAGCTCAGAGTGAGGTGTGGAATCTTTTTTCTCTCTCTTGCTCTTTTTTTTTTCTTCTTCGTTTTTTTTTTTGGACTTGTACCTGATCCAGGGGGAATTGCAGAAAATGAAAAGAGGAATGGTGCTCTTAATTATTGGAACGAAGGAGTCTCTATGGAAGATAGCTCAATGAGGGAGTCATGGCAAATCAGGGATTCCCTAGACTTGTGTTGTAATTATTACTATTATTATTCAACCAACTTGTCCTTGTCCAATTGATTGGCATGGCTGTTTCATGGCTGTTTCCAAAAGCAGTCACTCTCTCCTCCTCTTCTCTTGCTCTGACAGACAGATCGGCATGACAAATGACAAGGAAACTAATCAAATATGTTTAAATCAATTTGAGGCTTAACAAATGTAGCATTTCAAGTCAGAGTCGTTCGGAATTGCAGCAGATGCATAAACATCGGCACTTGGCAAGAAAACAGCGCATACAGATAACTGTAAAAAGAAAATCAGTTTTGAATATTTTATTGTGATTAGGGATGAATGAAACAATACTATCAAGGAATATACTGACATAGCCTACTAAATATTTGAAATAGTATAGTGAAAATAGTCAAACATAAAAAACTTGTGTTATCATTTAAACAATAAATCCATCTGTAGTCCTTCTTGAGAAAACACAAAGGCCTGGTTTCACAGACAGGGTTTAGATTAAGCCAGGATTAGGCTTTATTTCAATTTGGACATTTAAGTAGCTTTTGTAAACATCCTTTTTAAAAAAAAAAAAACTACCACTGCAAGTTGCTTTCATTTAAAACAGCTCAAACACGCATTTTAGGCCCCGTCCACACTACTGTGTTTTTGTTTAAAAACGGAGAATTAAAACGAATATGATCTCCATCCACACCAGCGTTTTATCTGCGTATTAGAATTGATCTCCATCCACATTAAAACGACTGAAAACGTGGATCACATGACCATTCACCAACACTGCATATGCGTGCCGGTGTAAACGGTGGCTGACGAATCAGGGAAGGATACGTCATGACTGATGACACCCAATCATAGAGCCGAGCGTGAGCCTCTGTGTCGGCGTTTCTAAAGTTCTCCGTTTTGTCCTGTCTTCACTAAAACGCCCTCTGGAGATTCAAAACGCAAAACGGAGCTGCAGCATTTCTAAACTTCGTTTTATGTCTTCGTTTTTTCCCGGGAGGTGCAAACGTAGCAAAAGGTCTCCGTTTTTAAACGAAAACGCAGTAGTGTGGATGGGGCCTTAGTCTGGGACTATCTTAAGCCTTGTCTGTGAAATAGTCAGAGCTTTGACGTAGCAATTAGCACATATGTTTCAGTAAGGCTAACATGTGGTGCTCATGTGGGTTTAAGTCTATATAGTTTATGACATATTCCCCCAGTTTCACAGACAAGGTTTAGGCCTAGTCCTGAATTAAAATGCATGTTTGAGCTGTAACTGAAAGCAACTTCTTATAAATTTGTTACTGACATTGTTTTGTCTCAAGATGCACATTAGTAATGTTTGTTTGCTAAGGCACATTTATAAAAGCAGGCCTACTTAGATTTCCTAATAGACTGGCCTAATCCTGGCTTAATCCCTGTCTGTGAAACCAGGCCATTCTGATCCAACACTTTCCACTTTATACCTGTCTAAATAATTAAATAAAAAATCCAATGAAACAAAGTTATCTTGTACTGATAACGCCATACAGGACACACAAACTTCAATAAATATCAGTGATCCTGTCAGTTGTCAAACTTTTCTAATCAAAGTCAATGAAGAAAAACACTGTCTAGATGTGGATTGAGAAGGTCACTCTTAAAAAAAAAAAACAAAAAAAAACTGAGAGACTGAAACATTGAGACAAAGAAAGAAAATTCCTTTAACAGCACACCAAACCAGTCACTCAAATGTCACATTTCTGTTTTTTTTTTCTATACTTTTTGCCTTTCCTTAAGTGACAACAGGGTGAGTTCTTTAAAAAAAAGCAGTTCTAAAGAACTGAAGGCTCTGGCGAGGTGCGTGGTGTCTTTTTGATATTCAGATTTGCCTGCCTACACAGAGCATTATGACACATTTGGATGATCGCATTGTGGGATTATGGGCCTGCCTTGTCATTTTCAACAACAATACTGCGATTTAGGGATGCTATTTCTCACACTGCGGCTCGCATTAACGCCGGGCCCGAAGATTTACATAAATCTTTGTCTTAAGATGAAAGAAAGGCTTTGAGACAATGAAGTTAAGCTGGAGAAATGGGAAGGAAGGTGTGTGTGTGAGTGTGTGAGTGTGTGTGTGTGTGTGTGGAGGGAGGGGGGTGTTAGCGAATGAGAGATGGGGGAAATATATATTCTTTTCTAATTCATCCTCTGTACTGTTGATACAAAGATACATAATGCCTCTTTCTTATGCCCTCATTATAAAAAAATAAGCAGGAAAAATAAACATTAGCTACACAGAAGACACAGAACAGCAGCAAAGTGTTACTCATTCAGAGCTGATTTACTGATTCGTCTTTCAGCGAATCGGCGCCTTCCTTAATCTTATTGCCTGTAGCAGTCATTTCCAAAACTGACCTAGATTGTTGCACCACCCCTCCATGATTGGATTCATTTCCTGTGATTGTGATTCGGTTTACATCACAGGCGAGAGATTGAAATCAGCCAGTTTTTCTCTAGGTTACTGTCGAATGCAGATTTTCAAGAGTGGATTGAATCTCAGAGCCAAACATTTTCTTGCTAAAATTTGTTTCCCTGCACATACCTGGTTCCACTTTCCTTTTATGAAACAAAAGTTGATAAGCCAAGATAATTTTCATAATTCTTATACCCTGCAAAGATCTAGGAGTTTATGACACTTTGAAATGAAAGCTGAGAAATGATTCTACTCGGAAATGTGCAGAAAGAAATGGTATAGGCTACATTTCTAGGTCTCTTTATTTATTAAAAAATAAATAAAATAAATACATTACATTGTACATATTCAAAAATGACATATACACATATATATACTAATAATATATTTGATTAATAATATATCATATATTTATTTATATGTATATAATATATATTCACAATTTAATAACATTTGATTAATAATATGCAGTATTTTAATAATAATATATTTTGATTGACCAATTATTAATACAATATAATAATTATAATACCAATTCAAACATATTTATATATTAAAAATAACAATAAAAAGGAAGTTAATAATTATTAATTCATCAGTCACCTATAATAATAATATAAAAATAATAAATTAAACAATCAAAATATATTTTTTTAAAGAAACTTTTCCATGTGTAAATTTCCTTTTAAATCACAGATTTCCCAATATGACAACAGTACATATCGATTAAGGAAATATAAATGGTCCATAATATAAAGTTTAATTTCTCATGCAGTACTTAAATTTTCTTTTTTTTTTTTTCTTTTTGTTGAGGATGCACCTGTACATACATCTGAACATCTGAAGACACTTTCCACAACTCACGCCAGATCCAAATGTGCAAGGTGTATTTTATTGGAGGAGCCTTTTCCAACACCAGGGCTGGGCAGGATCCATATGTCCGACATATGATTGGATGCTTCCCTGCTGCTAAGAGCAAGTGCCACAGATCTGTGCCATGGCAACACTTTGGTGATTATAATTCAGACAGAAAGGTCATTATTTATTGCTTTCCCTGCCTGCAGCAGACACTGGTGCTGTCCCTCAGTTCATAGCAATAAACTAAATAAATGACAGTGGACAGATGGCCCACCTTGAACTAGTGAAAGAGGTTATTTACATCTGTGGATATTCACAATCAGCTCGCTCTCGATCACTCAGCGCTGACAGTCTCGACAAGCTGACATCAGATAACAACGTATATAGAGATCATCTCTCTTTGCATGTGCGTGTGTGCAGTGCTCAGGGATTTTTTGCTGTTGTTGTTGTGATCGGTTCCCAGGTTCCGGAGTCCTAAGGAACATGGCATTGTAATCTGGGCTATGTTTTATTTATGGACCTTACCGAAGCAGATAACTTAACAAACAAAGATGATTGCTTCAGGGGCCACTCACTCGTCCTGAGGTAATTAAGACAAAGTAGCTCCCTTGGCCAGGAGGCGGATAATACAACCAGCTATTATTTCCCTTAAAAAAGTAAAAATACGACACCGAGAGAGAGAGAGAGAGAGAGAACAAATGAACGTGTGAAAAAGAGAGAGGCTGTGAAAAGAGAGCATTTGATTCAAAAGGTCTTTTGTCATGTTTTAGAGGCCTATGTGCTTCTTATATCTCCTAGCCGGCCATGTGCTATCAATGAGGCTAATGCAATACAAAACACAAGCTCAACTGTACAATGGGATCCAAAAGTCTGAGGCCATATGGAATATAATCTAATTTAAACCTGCAAGTTAACAACAATTTTACATAATATTGTAAGTCGCGTTGGATAAAAGCTACAGTTAAATGAAAAAAAATAAAGATTCTGTACTATTTTAAGGTCACTCATTAAATATGCAAATGTGTTACATTGATCATGTGACTCCAGTCAGCTGTTTCTGCTTCCACTGAAGCACAAGCTGCTCTTTTTGTTATTAAGTTTCTGAGAGATACAGACTTAGCAAAAAGGATTTAATTATTTATTTATTTTTTTATTAAGTTCCAATATCTCTTGATTCACACTCCAGCCCAGTCGGTGGCGGTAAATGCACCGTTAAGTTGGTTTGCCAACCGCCAAAAAACAAAAGAAGAAGAAGAAGAAGAAGAAGAAGAAGAAGAAGAACAAGCTGCTCTTTGAATTGTCTTAAATCAATCTGGAGAACAGGATACGATCTTACACAAACTTAAGTACCACTCCATGCTGACTGTATGTCAAAGTTTTGATGAATGTTCATGGTGCTCCTAAACATGAAAAGCATAAGGAGGCGAGAAGTGAATTGTGCTCCAAAAACCCAAAGAATCGCCATTGAAAGGTAAGCAAAAAGTTTTCTATACTATTCACATTCCACTTTATGCCAAGTTTTAAAAGCTTGTCTGATTTGCACTTGAAAATTGTGTGTGGTCAACAGTCATGTTGACATTCATTACCCTTTTTTGGAAAGTTGTTGCTTGGCTACTCTGCTATTAAAATACTACTGTGGTTTCAAGGGAACAAAAATTAAATGGGTTTCAAAAAGCATGATTTTTGGATGAAACTTTGGCCTTGTCCACACAGACACGGGCATTTTTACAACCATGACTTTTGTTATGTGGTTCGGCCGTTCGTCCACATGGAAACGCAGTATCAGGACACTGAAACCGAACGTTTTTGAAAACTCCTGCCCGGGTGAGGATTTTCAGAAGCGCCGGTTACAGTGTTGTCGCATAGACAGTAAAACCAGGGTTTTTGCCTTGCGACATCAGAGGGTGCCGTTATCGGTCTTCCGAAACCTGTAATAACTTTTTGTTAGGCTTCTGATTGGTATTTAGGCCGTGTGTCCACCAAAGCGTCTTTCCACATGCCTGGTGTTTGTTTTTGATTGTTTTCAATAGGAGCGCCGCATTTTTTAAATGCCATGAGCGTAACAAGGCGCTGAACTTTTTTTCACGCTGAAGCACCGAGCGCCCAGCGGTTTTTACTGGTTGCCGAGAGTTGAGAAATGTTAAACTTTGGATAAAACGCAGCGCTCATCACTGTCACTTTTTACCCACCTGTCTAATCACAGTGGAGGAGGGGTGGGACTAAATCACACTGACCAACTGTCACAACATTCTTTCTGTATAACGACATCAACCAGCAGAGCTAACCGAACAAAATGGATGAAAAATAAATTTTTAGTATGAAACAAATTACCTGCGAAATCAGTTACAAGTAAACTGTGCTGCGGATATTCTGTATCATAGCAGCAAAACGTCTCAACAGAAAAAACGCTGCGCTGCCAAAACGCTCTCAAGCGTCCAAAGCAAAGAGTCTAGCGTTTTCAGCTGGCTAAAAACGCTTTGGTGGACACGCGGACTTAGGTTATGTTTACACGGAAACGATTCTGAAGAGAAAACGCAAAAGTGGCGTTGCGTTATCACTTTTTATTCTGCGTTTAGACGAGCGTTTTGGGTGGGAAATCCGCGTGCATATGGTGACGTAAAAGTGTGCGAAATGCAATGCAGTATACACTCCAGGCGGCTAGGTGGCAATGTGGAGCACTGCCACACAACAACACCAAGTCTGCGCACCTGCGTACAACCTTCACTGTCAAGCAGACTTTTGCGTTTTTACCATTTACACGGGAACGCGATGGTGGAGCGTTTTTAAGATTTCCACTCTGGTGGGTGGTTTCACTTTTTTTGCGTTTTTAAGCCCCAAAAACGCCGTCGCCGTGTAAACGAAAGGCACATCCAATAAAATATTTTTACGTTTTCACCTGCAAGCGTTCTTGTGTAAACAGGGCCGATAATTCCATTTCCATCTGTTTGGAATTCGAAGTAATGGGAAGTCTTGTTCTACAGAGTTTAGCTTCAACCCTAATCAAACACACCTGAACAAGCTAATCAAGGTCTTCAGGATAGTTACAGGTAGGTGATTTTTTTTTTTTTTCAGGGTTGGAGCTAAACTCTGTTGGACAGTGCCCCTCCAGGACTGAAGTTGCACATCCCTGCTTTAAAGCAAAACAACATTTAGTGTTGAATTTCTGAATTTCAATTTTTCAGTTCAACATTTGACAAAAACTGGTATGCTGATGTGTTCTGTTTATAACCAATAAATAATATTATTTATATAAAGTATTACATTAGAAGCACCACCTCACTATGTAAGAAACCAAACTTACACATCCCAGATAGAGAGGTGATGAAAGTGAGTGATGAAAATGATGTGCATGCCATCTAATGTATACATATAAAAAAGCTAGTAGGAGACATTTTTTGGCTGAAAGCATGTGTTAAAATGGAGTGGCTTGCGGAAACAGGGACCTGGGCTTTCCCCGCAGCTTGTCAGGCACAATGAATGGGGCTATCTGTTTGTTGTAGGCCTCATCCCTAGCCATGTTTATTTGTAAACTGAGCAGACAATATGAAAAGCTGGGCTGTACAAAGACCCGAGACTGCCAGCTGGCTGACTGAGGGTATTCATGCCTTCCCTCAACCCCTTTCACAATGGCAAAACCCTCAACAGACGCCTGAATGCATACAGACACACATGCGCGCACATGCATACACACACAACCTTTCATAATAGCCTGGAGAACGTCTTAAGGAAGTGTGGAATCTGCCCTCTCCCGTTTGCGTCCACTTAAATAACGTGCAAACACGTTACATAGGACGCCCCAGGCTTGTCTAATGTAAAGCCACAACTTGCAATGCCAAGAATGAGGAAGACTGTTTTAGCAAGCGTGTGCGGACATACTGTAAGATTTACATATCGGCCCCAAACCCCCCAGTGAGAAAACAAATTGGTCTCTCTTCCTGTTCACATCAATTGATGTTCTATTAAGACCAGATGGCTTTGATAGGCCTGAACCCATCTTGCAGAACATACATAGAAAAACGTCGATGCCTATTAATTTTCTGTCTGCTCTATGGATATTTAGCCCCTGGCTCAGCTGTACCGAGGAGTAAAACAGCACTTTTGACATCCATACGCGAGGTTTCAGACTCCCTTAACCTTCAACTCACATTCTTAGAGAGGGAAGGAAAAAAAAAAGTCAGCCTCATATTGATAAAAACAGAAAGTCTGTCAATCGGAGCATTCTCAAAAATAGACAAGTGCTCTCGAGCAATACATTATGCCAGCGTCTCCCTGTGTGTTAGGTTGTGATGTCTTGTAAGATGCACGTACAGTTTGAAATGGGTATTTCTATATTATCTCCGCTTCGAGCCTTGACATCTCTGTGCCACACACTTGCTGTTCTGTTGAGGGTTGAGGACAGTGTGAATAGAAGAGCATAACCTGTCCTCTATCACTCTGAATTGCTGTGGAAAAACATCTCATAAGCTGCATTGCCATCTGAAAGGTGTTTTCTAAGTCATGGTATGATATATTGCACATTGAGACACTGATTTAAGAACCACTCACCTCTCATAAACTCTAACCTTGGGGGTTTTTTTTTTTTAAGAAACTGAGCAAAACCTTCAAAATCAGGTCATGATACACAGCTTACCGGCAGTGTACAACATGTTTGAGGCTTCAAGAGAGACAAGTGATTTTTCATTCATCGTTTTGACCTCACACTCATCATCCCAATTAGATTATCTTACAATGTGGCACTGCCATACTTGGAGTTCGAGCGAGCCAATTCACGTCCCTGAGCAGCAATAACGCTTTTATTGACTTTTGTTCTGAATAGTCGGGTGATGACTTCTTGACTGAAACCAAATATTGTTATGGATACCGTTCTCAGCGCAATAAAAACCTCACTCTGAATCTGTGTGTAGTGCGGTTGTGATATAAGCTCATGTTTTGTGTTTCCTTAGACGGCGGGCTGACGTCCACACGCTGAAAAAGTAATGTTCGGCATGTTCTGATTAATTCAGCTCTAAATTGAGGATGATTTAATGTTTAGAATGAATCACTATGGAAAAAATAAACATCACTTTACTGTAAAGACTAAAGGAAATTTGTTTGCAATAAAACAACTATAACATTTGGTACATACAAACACAATAATGATTAAAAAAAATGTTCACAAGCGAATCATTCCGAGTGGAAAATGAACTCCAGGCATCAAAAAGGAAAGAAAAAAAGGAAACAACACTGTGAAATTGTGAAAAATGCTGCCTCATTATTCATGCCCCAGTGCATGCTGGGAAGTTAAGTAGATTTACTTAAAATTTTAAACTATTGAAACATCCTCATATTTGTGGATAGTCTGTACAAAATTTTCTACTTTAGAATCAATACTTGAGAAATCACTATAAATGTAACAAAGAAAAAAATAATACAAAAATCCCAACTAATAAAAACTAATAAAGTAATAAGTACAAATGTAGAATCTGCTTATTAGTCTCTAATAAATGCTTCTAACACAGAAAAGACAAAATCTTTTCAAACTGCATTCATTCTTTTTTTATAGGTCACGGATTTCTAGCTCACAGCATGATTGACTTTATGGACTAGAATAGTAGAGGAAACTACAATATGTGTTATTTTATGTGTTTTGAGTCAAGGTAAATACTTGTTAGTTTTTTTTTTTTTACCATTGTGCTGAAGAGTGGAGCTTGTGCTTAGATTATTGGCAGATACTACTTTATAATTAACCGGTGCTTTATGTAAATATGCTTTGGTTGGTATTTATTTAAATGGTCTTGTATCGTAGATTAAATGCAGGGAAGGTGATTTGTTTGTCGGCGTCGGCTTTACAGTTCCAATTGTTCACAAAAAAATGAGCTTATGCTGCATATATGCCATAACTACTGTAATTTAGAACACTGTAAAAATATTGTTGGTTTAACTTAACTTAATTAAGTAACCTGGTTGCCTTAAAAAAATTAAGTTCATTGAAATGGAAAAATTGAGTAAATACAATGAAAGAGATTGATTTAATCATCAGAAACTAAAAACATTATGTTATCTGAACATAAATTATTTAAGTTGATTTGACAAAAGAAAAAATTGCTGTGATTACAAATCATGAAAATATTTTTTTTTACAGTGAAGAGGTGGAAAACCGTGACTAAAATCTATGCTTTTTAATGGCAACACTATCGCCTATCAAAAATGAATCTGTAGCAGTCAGGTGGTATACACTGCTCTTTAAATTGTTTATGTTCATTATTATTGAAATGTTATGCGCTTTGATACATGAGGTAAATTAACACCTGCTGCGTCCCAATTCACCTATGCCCTAAAAGTATGAACTTTTTTGTGAAGACTTTTTTGTGTACATACTTTTTGAGTGTGTAGCAAAAGAGTTGGCAAGCTTTGGGACATACTATCACTACATCTTCAACGGACAGCTCTGTTGCGTGCTGCATGCATCCTGTCAGGTAAACTGCCCTGTCA